GATGATGTTAGCACGTATGATGACGTAAGCACGTTAGGGCGAGCCCTCCCGGAAGCCATAGAGAATGCATTGGAGCGCCCCCGTTCGAAAAAAAACATCTTTGAATGTAAGTCTATGGGGCCACTCGGGGCGATTCTCAGCCGTAGTGAAATCGCCCCAAAAGAGGCGGTACTCCACAGAACGTGACATAACGCTGATTGGACTATATCCAGAGGCTGACAGTGACGGCTAGCGTGACTCTGTGGTTGAATGACATTGGTGGTGCGTCGCCCAATCGCCCTAATGAAGAAACCGCCCCTGATATAAACATAGACATAACTTCAACCGGGAAGATGGATACAAATTGAGCAATCATTGGAAGAATGTTATTAACCAGGTAAAACCTTAACTGCTTCATGATTTGCCATCATATCTGCATCTTCAGTTTCTTCAGCCTCCTACTCCCAGCCATGCTCACTTCCCCTTCCCACCCAGGCATTTTGCAGCCTCCCACTCCCAACCCCCGCTCACTTCCCCTTCCCACTCCGGCATTTTGCCGTGTATGTGTCTTAGCTTCAGCACTCCGCTCCCCCTACCCCCACACCCCCACCTCTATCTCTCCTCCCTGGCTCCTCCCCCCTTCTCTTTCCTATATAGCCTCTTGTTACAGCAGCCCTTTTGCCTACTTCAGCAATTGTTTTCTTGCCGTGGTTGTCCCACCTGTAGATGGACGCTTGTGTTATGCCCGAAAGAGTAAGTACCATATATGTTTCATATTGGAATGAAATTAACCATTTTAGAGACTTTTTTCTCCTATCTTTATTTTTCAACCGATTATACACCACTTTAAACCTCGTATGTTTTTCGTATTTAGAAGACGCTCATAATGTGATGCCCTAAGCAGTAGCTTTCTGAGCGTATTCCTAAATCCGACACTGCTCCCATCGTAGAAAAATATATATAGTCTTTGTCTGGTATTGGTCAAGCATCCGAATACAGGACCCTTCTGAAATATAGTCTCGAGGCTCAGTGTGGCATTAATTATTAAAGTGAACAAAGTGTGCAGAACTTGCAGTGGGCCGATTTCCGTGTTCTGCACAGTTTCACCCACTGTTTCCAAGCCCAAGCACAGCCAATAGTGGGACACATGTTGATTTACCGAAAGTCCAACTTTCGTCAACCGGTGTATTAGAGTTGCAACGTATGTATAAAAGTATCTGTAACCCGATTTTTCCGTATGTTGGAAACTTAACAATTTTCCCACAAAATCAAGATAAAATCCCATAGCCGGAAAAAGTTGTGCCTCCCCTACCCGTATACGAGTTCGTTTTATCTCAGTACTGCATCGCGCTGTCATCCATTTTATATCGCTACCTGTATCATATTTATGTACATATGCTCTGCACTTCCTGATTCTTTCATTTCATCGAATATCTACCCTGACACTACCCATAATTAAACTAATGGAACATATACTGTATCTAATTGTTCAGGAATACTTCGAAACATTTTAATATTCATTGTTAATAGAAAGCAGTCACTTCCGAATATTCGTTTGCAGTGCATTAGGCGAGGCCTAGACTTATCCCATCGCTGTTGGCTGAGACTACTAGCAATCGAAGTGTAATTGTGTTAAATAAAGCACATATGTGGTGGTCATGTTGTCACACACGCGCCCCTCGGTGGGGAGCGGTAGAAACCGGTCCGGACTGGTCGGGCCAATGGCGGTTGGAACCCCTCTGAGGGGAGGGGGCTGTGGGAAGCTACGATCCTCCAGAAACCCGCCCGTCAGGGAGAAAGAGTATATAAAGCGGGTCCCTGAGAGCGCAAGTCAGTCCGCCTCAAGCCGAAGCCAGAAGCCGCCTGGAGAAGAAGACCCTGGACCCCAAGTCACCGACGTCCTTCTAAGGGCCGGGGCTCAGTGCGGTGCCAGTGGTCGAGAGGTTAGGACCCTGAGGTTCCCTCGGCCTGATGTCCTTCTAAGGGCCAGGTCCGGACGGGCCAGCAGTCAGGGACCCACCGGGCCAGCGGTGGGTCAGCCTCCCCTAGGTCTAGCCAGCTGGAGAGCTAGAGGAGTCAGAGTTCTAGATACGATAGCCCGGAGGCTGTACCTCCCCAGGTTGTGGGTGGAAGGGGCCATTACCCCTTTGTGTTAGAGTTTAAGTGTAAACTGTTATGGTATAATAAACCGTGTTGCCTCTTCGAAGACTCCGTCTCCCTACAAGAACATTACACATACAATAACTAACTTATGAAACACACTTAAATGAAGAAAACTGTTAATAGAAACATGCGACAAAAGCTAGTTTTAAGCATAGAAAAAAAAATTATGTAATGCTACAAAAGGAAAAGAATTACGTTAAGCTACAAAAAATAATTTTACCTTAATCCGAGTGAAGTTCGGGCTCGGTGAAGACAGCGTTTTGGTGAAGTGAGGCGTAAGGCAGAGGTCGCAATAGGGTACCCGATACCCGTACCCTACCCGATACCCGGCTACCCGTACCCAGCCGGGTATGGGTACCCGTTTGCGACCCTGGTGCGGCCGGGTACGGGTACGGGTAGGCCGTGAGTCACTGGTGAGTAACCGTTTGTCACTCATTTCCCAACGTCTTGTCTCTTCTCACAATTCAAGTTCCTAGAATCAACACACCCGCGCCTGCAACATGGCTTCATCCCAGAGGTCGCAATCGGGTACCCGTACCCTACCCAATACCCGGCCGGGTACGGGTAGCCGGGTATCGGGTAGGGTATGGGTACGGGTACCCGTTTGCGACCCTGGTGCGGCCGGGTACGGGTATGGGTAAGGAATCAAAACCCGTTTGCGACCTCTGGCGTAGGCCTCGGCAAGGTAAGGTAAAAGTTAAAAGGTAAAAACAACGAGCCTACCTTTACCCTACCTTTTACCTTACCACAATACAATCACTCTACCCTACCTTTTACCCTTTAGCAGGTAAGGTAAAAGGTAAAAAGCAACGAGCTTACCTTTACCCTACCTTTTACCCTTACCCCATACAAATTACCCGATTACAGGGTAATTATTAGGGAACTACTACACACGAACAAGGTTTATAACGGTAAATGCTAGGTAGAGCACTTTAATCATATAGAATACTCTCGATGATTCCAATTTTACACGCTTTCTTTTAACTCACTCTGTCTGTTGTTGTTGTCGTTGTTGTCATTGTTGTTGTATCCTCAAATCTTGAAACTCAATTTTTATCCACTTCCTAATGTGGTATCGACTGCACACTTGGTATACTTATGTCATACTGATGACAATACTATATCCTATCATAAAAATATATGTTTTTAAGCAATCTTTTTTACATGTTATGTTTTGGCTTGGGTATAATTGTCCACGCTCAACTCACGTTGGCTGTGATTGGCCACGGCCCCTTACGTCGTGGCAAGCTTCGGGGCCACTTCCTGGAGTTCTGCCATTACTAGTACGTTTAATAAAAGCGTGTTTTAAATAAAGTTTGTTTTAATATTACTTATTAAATGGAGGCCACAGACTGCGCCACGGAGCCTTTAGCGGTAAACAAGGCACCGTATTTACCGGGTAATACTTCGCTCTTCCTTTACCCTACCGGGTAATTCTTCCGAGCTACCTTTACCCTACCCTTTACCTTACCCCTTGGCATGTCGACATCTTTACTCTTTACCTTTACCCTTTTACCCAGGAAAAAGGGTAAATTACCTTACCTTGCCGAGGCCTACTCTGGCCTAAGGCGGACAGTCTTATGCCTTGCTCCGCGGTATTCATCCGCAACCTCACCGTGCTGAACTAATTGCGCTTATGTAACAGAACGCAACCATTTCCGCATATTGATTTTTTAAAATGATTTATGGAAGCATTTCTATAAAGTCGGATTTGCGTAAGTCGGTCGTGCGCAACCCGGAGAATTACTGTATACTGAGAACATCGAGTGACTTAATGAAGGTGGAAAGTTTCCACCATAAACCTTCAGTTTGTCATAGCCATAGTGCTGGTTCTCATTGCCTACTGTGCGGCGTGCTGTTGGTACAGTATTTAAAATGTACAAGCAGTCACACCATAGTGCCTTTTTATGATATAACACTCCTGAAAGTCATGTAACCGTTGAGGTTGGGTTGGGGATAAGAAGCCTGCGTGGCGTAAAATACGTCCTGGTGCTAACAGAAAAGATGTGATCATCGATAATCAGGTTGAAGTGACTCTCTAGACCAGTGGTTCTCAAAATGTGGTTGCTGGTCCACTAGTGGTCCGCAACGGTCCTCCGGGTAGCCATTGGGCTGATGGAAATGCAGGTTGATCCAGAAATAATGACAATGTTTATAACCTTTATAGCAGACATTAATTAATATATCATTCATAATATTTTATACAAAATTAAGTTAGGTAAGTTACCCGGATGACACTACCCTAAGATGTAAATGCCCCCCTCCCCCCAAAAAGAAAAGCTTTATAGCTGTGTTTAAAAAATATTTGTGTGTTCTGGTAATATGAATAATTATGTATGACTGGTATTTAGAGAAGTGGATGCGTTTGGTCACCAGGAGTGGGGGGATGCGTGGTCCACGGAAAGGTTTGCATCGGCTAAGTGGTCCGTGGAGCAAGTTAGAGAAACAATGTTCTAGAGGCACCTACAGGTTGTTTTGCATCTGAATATGCAAATCACATCTGAGCAGCAAGTACAAAGGCCTCTTACCCCACCCTAAGAAGCATTAATTGAATTTATGCTTGTGCACCACTGCCAACGCAGCAGTATGAAATCATTTGTTTTATTCTGCTTTTAAAAGTCATTGGTTTACTTTCCGACATGTTTGCGGTCACATGGGCGCTGAACAACTGACCCTCAACGAGTGAGGAGCACCCATTAAACCAGTGCGTGTAAAGATATTAAACATGCTTTTGCAAACACAATGACAATTTATCCGAATTTCAGGTTAATCTTCCAAACTGATAATCCAACGTTTAACTGTAGCATGCTTTTTTCAGTTGTTGTCTTCCATTAATTTAAATATGTAATTTATTGCAGGCGAAAGAATCCACAACCGGGTACAAAGTGAACTACAAAAGCACTCCGAGCTACAATCATGCAAAGGATGAGATCCTAACAGCGAATGCAAACACAGACTCGGAAAAAAGCACCAAAGACGACCCAAGATACCATTTTGATGCAGAGATGTTCGTAGCGGCTCAGCAGGAACTAGTGTCACAACGAAATGGTTTAATTCGATTGCTTCATAAAGATGAAGTGACGAGTTCAGATTACAGCATGGCACGAAAACGGACCGGAAAAATACTCCACACCTTGCAGGTACGTGCTTATGCAGTTGAACTGGGGTTGGCTAAACACCTCATCAAAACAATTGAAGTATGAATTATAGTTACATATTATGTCAGATTGTATGAATATGAAGACGCACCCCTGCAATTTCTGGGGCACGCTCGATGCTGATGAAAGGGCAGCAACTACAGGGAACTCCAGAGTGCCTTTCAGTGGTGAGAGTGTATTTTATCCTACTCTTCCACACTGGGCCAAATGCCTGGAAAGAGGTGGGAGTTGCCACACTTTACGCCACCACATGCGACCTGCCAATCGACAATGGTGTATCCAAGTACATCGATTGTTGCGTAGCCAGGATCAGGAGTATTTACATAAACTTTTCCATTGCTGTGGCCGATTGAATTACTGACCTCTAGATTGGCCAATCAGTACACCACGGTAGAGCATCCTGAATCAATACACAACTACAAAAGCAGTCATACGAACTCAGTCTTCTGGCAAGAGCCAACTTTATTTATCTGTGGTTTTGCCATCGTACAACTGTTCCCATCCAAGAGCCCTGCACCCTTCTCTGCCTTCTCCTTATACAAGTGTAGTGTTGTAAAGGACGGACTAATAACTTCTTTATGACACACACAGTTTATTGTCTTAATTATACAGTCCCTAACACACAAGGGGTATACAGTCCCGTTACCCTGGGAAGGTACAGCCTTCGGACTTGCTGTCTATCTAATCTTCCCGCTAGCCTAGCGTCCTCCGGCTGGGACCAGAGGCGTAGCTAGGGGGGGCAGGGGGGTACATATGTCCCCGGGCGCCAAGGTAAAGGGGCGCCAAAATGAGGCTTACAACGTTACATTATAACTTATTGCGGCGGGCGCGGCAGCCTGAAACTACTGCACAAATCTACACCTCAACCTAAAAGATTATATATCCCGCCACACACAGCCTACATGTCATGTAATTACATTTTGGTTCGCGCGCCTATTAAGAACTTACATGGAAGAACGTCCCAAACAACAGACAGGCGGCAGTCTTTCAGCCTTAGTCACTGGCCTGTTTTTTGGTGGAAGAAACTACGACGGCCTATTTGTAGTTCTTATTAGTGACACCACCACGCTCCAGGTGGCTGCAGCAGCCGGAGCAGCCCACGCACATCAACAAAGCGTGGCCTTCATCTAGCAGCATTAACTACAAGGCTCACTTATACGTGGACGTCGCTCGTACCTTATATTTGAACTGACCTAAGAGCCGAGCCATGCTCGCTGGCGGACACTAAGTGAGAGTGTTACTGTGTTAGCTAGACCACCAGATTGCAAACTGCTGCTCAGTAACCGGAATGAAGTTCTACCAGAAACTCCTTTGGATCTTCTTGGTTTTATTGTGTTTAATGGAGACGACATATTTCCGAATTTGCGAATTTCACTGCAAATTTTATTAACAATAGCAGTTTCAATTGCAAGCTGTGAGCGGTCGTTCAGCAAATTGAAACGTATTTGGTCGTATTTGCGTGCTTCAATGGGACAAGATGGTCTCAGCGATCTTGCTCTTCTTAGCGTTGAAAGATAAACATTGGAAAAAACTAATTTTGATTACGTGATTGACCAGTTTGCGACAGTGAAATCAAGAAAAATGTATCTTTTGTAGACTGTCAACCAGTCTACGACAGTGACTGAGTGAGCCATGTAATATAATTTATATAAATTTGCTTCTTTAAATACAATATTTCATTAAAATTGAAATTGGTATTCCTTATTCGATGTAATAGGAAAATGTGATTAAACGGGGGGGGGGGGGGGGGTGCCAATTTTATAGTTCGTCCCCGGGCGCAAAATATCCTAGCTACGCCTCTGGCTGGGACCTAGGGGAGGCACACTGACCCGCCGCTGGCCCGGCGGGTCCCCGACCTCTGGTCGCTCAAGACCTTCGCCCTCACAAGGGCGGGAAGGCTGGGAGCCAGGGTCCTATCCAGGACCTATCTCCCCTGACCACTGGCTACACTGAGAGCCCCAGCCCTGACAAGGGCTGGAAGGCTTGGTCCAGGGTCCTAGCTGTCTTCAGCCGACTTGGGTCTTCGTGTAGCAGAACTGGCCAAGAGCTCTCAGCGCTCCGGCTTTTATACCTGTTCGTGGCCGGGTTGACCAATCCCCGGCCACCTCGTGGACCCCTCCGATTGGTCCGTCCCAATCTGGCGTTTGGATCCTACCTCACCCCATTTGACCCTAACCGTTTGATTGAGCGGGAAAACCTTGTTTACTAACTGCTCTCTCACAGCTTGCGAACAGCGAGTAGTTATCACCACTACACAAGTTTTCCTCGCTTCATATGGTAGATGCGTTGCAACAAAAGGGTGCACAAAGCTAAACCCCACGAGACAGCTACCTGCCAAGTAGTGCATGTCATGAATATTTGGTAGAAATAGGTTCGCCTGATTTATGAAAATTTGAATAAACCGAAACCGCATGAAGGAACCTGTGTATCCCACACCCTTCTCTCGGAACCGTCTAGAACTTTTCTGAACAATCTAGCCCAACCACTCCCCCCAAAATCCTCATTCCCTCCTCTCTCCCTTTCACTCCTCCCTTAATCCCCACGCCTCCTGCTCCCGTTTGGCTAATCCAGTGAGCGGTCAGCTTCAGCAAATAACGCGCCCCTCTCCGACCGAAACCCCATTTGATAGCCACTGCTGACAGCTAGTTTGAGAGAACCTCGTAGCCATTAACATTCATGGCTATCGGCACTTGTGGCCTACACGGACAATTATACAGTGCTTGGCTTGCCAATGGGGAGCCCTAAACAAGATCAATTTAACAATTGCTTCATGATGGTAGATCAGAGTGTACAATAGGATTCCACATACGACGAGCAATGTATGTAAATACTGCACACCCTGAATGCTTCCACATGGCGCTGTAATAGTAATAACGAATAACCCAATGCCCTTCTCAGGGAAAAAACTTTTCCAAACCACACATTAACTATTGGGAAAAAAAAGTTAACATATTTGTCAATAACATGTAGTGTAAAGTAATGTGAAGTATTGTGTATACGTTCCAGTTTGTAACAAAGGGTTCTGCTTATGGCCATAATTGTTCGTCAATTTTACGAGGAAGTGCCCAGGTTAAAATATAATAAAAAGTAGAGTAAAAGTGTGAAGGCATGTGGTTGCTATCAATACACCGGGCCACCTTTTTCACACCACACACTATCAACAACACTGCCTTTGAAACGACAACAAAAATAGACGAGGTTTTGGGCAGTGGTCCTATATAGCACATGTTATTAACTACAGTACTGTATTGTCTTTTTTAGGACTTCTACAGTCATTCAAACTGGATTGAAATGGGAAATACAGAGCCAAAAAATGATATATTTGATTTGTCTGCTGAAGAGGTTGCTGGTAATATGCATGTCACTAAAGTAGCTCATTTACTTTTTCAGTGATTTTAAACTTACAAACTATGTAAGTTAAACTTACTTCGCACCGTACGTAGCCAACTGTGCTATTTACTACTGTATTTCGAATGCACAACACACGGGAGAAGTGGTGGTAGAAAAAACATGCTTTGATAATGTATGCATTGTCTTTGAAACTGATTGGCCTTCACCAGAGACATGATCTCATCAGTGTTAAACCAAAAAACGCCAAGAGGTGAACAGAAAAAATACATTACAAAATTTAAAGCTTTAATATCTCGGGTTGAGCAGTCATATATATAAGGGACCTGTATGCCAGTATCAAGATGACTCCCATTGACTTGTGTTTTTTCGGCATCACAGTGAAAATTCAAATTCAACTTTTTACGTATGGCAAAATGTTCAGGAACTAAATGGTACTGTCGAGGTTTGCTAGCCGCCAGAGAGCTTAAGGAGAGGGTTTGTGTAGTTGTGCTATTCCTATACTGAAGGAGCACAGACGACAGTGGTTTACTATATGGTTCATATTTTGGGTTGCATGGCAACAGTTGCACTATTGTGGATTGTGCCTTTCAGTTTACGTTAATGAAGATGTGCACACTCGACCTATTTAAGTCCAGCAATACAAACTACCCACAACTATGGACTGAGAAATTTCAATGCCACTTAAATCACCCTATCAGCAGGGCATGACCCGATTCGAATGTTTACAATGTAGACTTCAGAAATAGTTAATAAGGACATTATACTATTGGAACCTTCTTTGCCAGTAGCAAAATATGATAATGGTTCTTTTACCCTTTTATCTGGCAACAAAACTGACACCTTTTTTTTTACAAGGAGTCATGTTTGCATTGACCACAATACCTGCCTTTTGGCGTCATCTGGTCCAACACGATGTGAGACTAGGCTCTAAAGAAAGCTGTCTCGGGTGTGGACCAATCAATTTCAAAGACATTGCATACATTATCAGAGTTATGTTTTTTTTTGTTTGCATTCCGACTGCAGGTATTGTGGTCAATGCAAACATGACTCCTTGTAAAAAAAGGTGTCAGTTTTGTTGCCAGATAAAAGGGTAAAAAGACAATTATGACATTATACTATCGTTGTTATCTAAATCGTCGTTTTACGTGTTAACGTTCCAACAAAGCTAAATGAGTTTATCTTCTTGGTTCTTTCGGTAAAGTCACGTAGAAGGGAAGTAATAAAATAATAAAAATAAAACATAATAAATTAATTCTCACGACGTTTTGGCCACAACGCAAGCAGCCGTCCTCAGGTGAAGAAACAGGTCTGTCGGGAAGACAGTGACTGAATGACACGCCCCAGGCTTGGAGCATCTATTTAAGCTAAGTTGGAGCGGGAAGGTGCGCCTTAACAAAATAATTTGCATATCAATATGAATTTAGCAAATTTATGGGAAATGCAGATGTGGGATTAGTACTACTTGTGAAGTCCGTAGGAGGTGGGAAGGGGGTTTAAAGTAATTATGCCTGTGCATTATGCAGGATTAGCAGAATCAAAGGGAGGGGGTAGGAGTAGCATTAATGAAGTGAAGGAATGTTAATAGTATGTAGCTGCAGTACTCAACCACCACGTAAACAACTAAAGTATAAACTACATAGTATCATCAGTATACTAAATATACTCTCCAATAAGCTGATCTACTGACAGTAAATAATACATTATAATTCTATGTCGCAAAATTTTAATATGCTCCCAGCTAAACTTTATTCTCTTACATCACACGGGTCTACCCCCTGCTATATACTGCCATAGACAAACCCTATGGCAGTATATAGCAGGGGATGACGTGAGATTGAAGTTGTTTTGAAAGCGAAAAATACTTCTTCTTGGTTCTTTCGGTAAAGTCACGTAGAAGGGAAATAATAAAATAATAAAAATAACACATAATAGAATACAATTTTCACGACGTTTCGGCCACAACGCAAGCAGCCGTCCTCAGGTGAAGAACAGGGCTGTCGGAAAGACAGCGTCTGAATGAACACCACCAAGCTGCCAAGCTTGGTGGTGTTCATTCAGACGCTTCTACGTGACTTTACCGAAAGAACCAAGAAGAACCAAGAAGATGAATCCCTGCAGTCACGAAAGCTTTAAATCGAAATAAAACTAATTGAGTTTTTCTTTAAAGAATGGTTTCAAATTTGGAAGCTTAAAGGGACGTCGTACATTTAGAGGGAGTGTTATTGTCAATAACATGTTTTAATGCAACATTATCTGTTAATAAAGCCAGACATTGCTGATGAGACCCATAAATGGTTAAAACGATCCAGAATGTGGGTGCTCAGACAGACTTTTCTTATTAACATTAGTCTGGATAGCCAATCGGCGGATATACTTTACAACTATTTTATTATTTTGTGGAAATACAGAATGGAGGGCGATTCACTATTAAATTAACCATTGTGTAGTGACATCATTGGATGTCACTGTGTGAGGCCGGCCTGGGAGAGGCACGGCGTGCGATGTATTGACATCACAGACACCACTTGAATGTGGATGCAGTACCGGCCCTAGCGGGGCTCGGTGAGTGCTGACTGACAGACATGGACGGTACCACGTTCTGCGTGCAGTGCCGGCCTCTACAGGATAGGGTGCGAGAGGGCCGGCCATGGAATGGGGTTATAAGGGGCTGTGACACTCTGGTTAACCCCGAAGGACACATGACCAGTTGTGTCTACAAGGGGGCCCCCAAGAGGGGGCTAGGGGTGATCATGTGTCCAGGTTGAGATCCTGCTCGAGGACTCGAGAAGGTGGTCATGGCGAAGGGCAGAGCGAGTCCGCCACAGAAGATATAAGCCGGGTCCCCCAGAGGAACTGGCAGCTGTTATTATCCTGAAGAAACCTACATTCTGCGTTCTACGTCCGTGAAGAGTCTCTAACATGTGGACCTGGACCCAAGCTGGGGTCTGGTCCGTTGTAGCTAGTTACTGTGTAATTAGTGTAGTTAGCCTGGTAGTCACCACCCTAGGTTGTTACAGTGTTTAACCAGTGTTGGTGTTAAATAAATCTGTTGCCTCCAAAGAGTATGTCTGCGACTCAGTTGAGCCCACTACGACTGGTGTCGGAAGTGGCCAAAAGTTCTTTAGTTATATAACCGGCGTCGGTTATGTATACTAGGAGCAGAGTACGTACCAGGACGTCGGACGATGAAGACGAAGAGTCAACAGCCCCGGGAATGGCGACCGCGAGGAGTCCACTGTGGAGGAGACAGCTGCGGAGGTGTGCGGGATGGATCAGCCCGCCGCCGCCATTTCGCGCCAAAATGGAGCGTCGGTGGCGCAGCCCATGCTTACGGGCGCCATTTTGAATGCAGAGCAGGGTGAGGAGCCCACCAAATTTGACGCTGCGCCGAGCCTGCCCGTCGACCTTCCATCCCTGCGGCGACAATTACTCTTTATTTAAAAATTTAACACCGCTGGAGGTGGCTGGGTGGCCTTGATACCAATGTTCCTCACCAACCAAGACTTGGAGGGATGGACAGAGGCGGAGGCGTTGAGAACACTGCTCACCACCTTGGAGGATGATGCCTTGGCGGCGTTTTTGACCATCCCGCTGGCGGAGAGGGCCACGCTGCAGCAGGCACTCATGCAGATAGCGGCGATCTACGGACCACCGTCCAACATACACCATCGGTTCGCTGCGTGGAGGAGGGGGGAGGCCGAGACACCCCTCGCCTTCCTCAGTGCGCTGCTGGCGTTAGCGAAGGCTGCCTTTCCCAAGTTGGACCATGACAGACTTTATTCGCTGGTCCTCAAGAAGTTGCTGGCATTGGCGAAAGATCTCTACATTGTCATCCAGGCCGTCGACGACGACTTGTGTTCTATTAAAATTGCGAGATGCATCTAGGCACACCTGCTATTGCAATGGGATACGGGGTTGGCGGCGTGTACCGCGCCTTGTGAGGCGCGAGATACACCCGAAGACACGGAGCCCGTCCAAGCCTACGCATCGACCCAAGGTGGGGGCTGGCAACGGAACGGCATGGCGCGATGGGACGACCTCCAATGATGGGGGAAGACATCACCTTGTCCAGGGAGCAGCCTCACCGTGTGTTATATTTGCGGGCTGACGGGACACGTCTCGTCCGGTTGCCGAGTGCCACGATGACGCCTCTCCGGACCACCGCCGTCGCCCACCCGGCCGTTCTCCTATACACTGCACCTAAAAACGAGTCGTGACACATCACACACTCGGCCTCTAAATCCACCTCACTCATCTAGTTTCGCCAGTTCTCGTTCCTGTCGGGCGTCGGTGAGGGGGGTGTTCAGAAAATTGATCGGGCCGACTGGCCGCTCCAACCAGGTCAGTGGTCGGAGCTGGCCCATAGAGTAGTTGCCGGGACCGCAGGTTCATCGGTGGTTATTGGTTCGATTGAAGGGGTCGAAATTAGGATGCTCGTCGATACTGGTGCGTCGGTGACCATCATTTCGGAGTTGATTTATTAAATTTTGTCTGCTAAATGCCGTACCTCATGCCCCGTTGAAGTTCTGTGCATTGCCGCAAATGGCGGCTCATTGGGCATCATTGGCAAAATAACAGCACAAGTGTGTATTGCTCGAGACTGATTTTTTATAGAAAATGCCTGTGAAAAATTTGATTGACCAGGGTTGCATTGAGTTGCCATCGGGCCATCGTATGGCATTTTTACCCTCTCTCACTCGAATGTGCACAGTCAATGCCACCGTGCAAGCACTGGCATCTGAAACAGTACGGATTCCCCCTGGCACGCAAATGTTGGTCCCCTTACGCTTGCGCAAGACAATAGATCAGGCGGCAACTGCGTGAGGAATCCTCTTGGGACCTTCAATTAAAGCCATTCGGGGATTGATGTTAGTAGGGGGCCCAGACTTTAGTGTCCAACGACCAAGAACCTATTATCCAGGTCCTCAATGCTGGGTTAGACACGTCTGTTGTTCAAAAGGGCACTGTGCTAGCTCATGCGTCACCCGCACTTCACGG